GGTTGTAATATTGCAGCTGAAACATTGGGAAAATCAATCCGCCCAACAGGTGTAAAATTTCATGTCATTGTTAATATCAGTTTAAAGGTTGATGGTATAAAAAAGGTCCACTTGTGAATTTGCACCCATTCTCAGTGGAGAAAGGTTCAAGTCCTCTGCCACAACAAGAGCGAAGAACTGTCGATTTTCTGCTACCAGAGAAAAATGGTGAGTTTAGCTTTTGATTTAACAATTTTCCTAAGTATTCGCTACTAAGGAAATTTAACTTATGTTTTAGTCATAAAAACACCAAAAATCTAAAGAGCTTGCTTCTGCTCAGATGCCGGATAAATCTCTTACATATTTTGTTTTTTTTTTCCTTCACCAGGAGTTCAAAATGTTCCTTCTGTGTTTTTCCGTCCTTGTTGCTGCCACAGCTGCAGCGACTGTCTGTAAATGTGAAGACAAAGACATAAATAAGAGTAACGCGCGCCTTTAAACTTGAGTACTCCATTGTAATTGCTATACGTTTCGTTATGTGTAGTAGACCTGATTTAAAGTTTAATTTATCTTCTTACGCCCAAGAGTAACTTAGCTTCCAAAGGGGAAAGGATTTCGAGGCTGCATTCCAACATCTCTTGCCGCGAAGTACTATGGACAATTAATCTTGGTCATAAGCAATAAAAAGCCAACTGATCAGCTTACATGGACCAAAGTATAATGCATATTTAACAGGTTAATTCAAGTTTATTTATTATTATCTCTTTGGTGTTTTTCTACCTTAGTAAGCTATTATTTTCAGGGCTAATTTTGTACGTGGCCAAAATAACTCAAAATATCGGGACTGAGCTTCTTTGGTATGGAATTCTTCTTGGAGACTTATCGCTCAGTGAAAAATGGGACTGTATGCCGGCTGTAATATACTAAGAGAGTAGAGAATTACCCTGATACGTTTTTATTCTTCAGATAAAACTGTTCATGTACTATACTACTTATACTACAGGTTATTCTAGTGTACATGTCGGTCGACCGCGGACTTTCTTGTGCTACAAGTCAGTCTCATTTCTCTTGGTGTCTCTGTATGTGTA